CATTTGGAACTGATTCATCTGTAGACTAAGCAGCTCACCTCCCCATTCTTGTAGCTTAATAGTTCTTGATCGCTACACAGTTCTACTAATAGATTTTTTTTAGAAATATGAAAATCTGCTTACTCATTGTTATGATTCTATCGACTTCTTTTGTGGCGGCGGATCCTATGAGGAAGAAACCACTCTGTAAAATGTGTGAAGGTTTTGTTGAGAATGTGGACGAAGTGGTCAAAAAAGAAGGAGATATTGCAGAGGTGAGTAAAAGTTTGCGCAAAACACTTTTAGTGGTATTGCGCTTGTCCGCTATTTTGCTATCGCTACCCAACATTCAATTTTTTATTCTTGACCATTTATTTTTCAAGTCTGTCGAAAAATTCTGCCGCAATGATGTCCCAAGGTTCCTCGTTGAAGCATGTGAAAAGATGATTTTAAAGAATCTCAAGTATATTATTGAGAGACTAAAGGTGAGATAATGCGTAAGTAATAAATTTTGAAGAAAAAGCAAACGTTCGACTAATATGGTCGAGTTAAACTGATTTCAGGAACACGAAAAGCCTGAGAAGATTTGCACTGACATTCATTTTTGTTCCGCTTAAATTTGAATAACGTCGTGCGGTTTGCTTCCTTTGTGTATATGAATGTACATAAACCATTTCTTCATATTTCTTTTTGTTTTTATTTTTTTGCTTCTGGAAATGCTGCGGATTTGGCAAGCAGCATGCTAATTTTAGTGGAGCTCTATATAATAAGGGTGTGGACGATTAAAATAATTTATGAATCAAATGCTTAAGATGTTGAGCTGTCGTAGCCAAATAGTTACGCTCATTATTGACGTAACCGAGAAGGATCAAGCAGTTTTGACTGGAAGTGTTGACTCATTACCTCCATATCTCAAATTTTTGAGAGGTAGAAGTGTTGAGAGGGCAAAAGGCCCTCGCAAGTTGTGTTTGTTGATAGATTCATGCTTTGCAGAGGAACAAGATTGAACGCTGTTAATGTTAACGTAATAATGGAAATTCATCAAATGATGAACAAAGCCATCCTGTCAATTTTATTGACTTCCAGTCATATATCACTTTTATCATCTCTTGAGCTATAGAGGCATGATTTGCTTGATAAATGCAATCTGCTCTTCTGTTTTGCGAGAACTAAACTTACAACTGGAATTTGTTCAGTTCGGCACGATTGACATACCAATTCATTAATGAAGTCGTCTGACCACTTTAATTATTTTTCCCAACCTACTGTAGTACACTATTAGAGGCCACTTTCCTACTTACTTACCGGTAAGATGTTTATAGTTCAAATTTTCACTACAAAATAAAAAAA